CAAATTCTTCTAATTAGTTATCAAACAAATAAACTGTTGTTAAAAAATATATAAGGGAGTATTTAAACATTACCTTTGCTGGATTTTTCGAGTTCACAAGTCAAAAATAAAAGCAAAGCATTGCACAATGTAGTATATTGCTATATGGCATGGGTCAAAATGGAAGACACGATTCCAATATGGGGTCATATTTCTTTTTGAAATCTATTCCTTTAACAGCGCAAAAATTTATTTTAGCTCATTGGGGGAATCTTCTAATTCCCTCTCTTATTTTGCATTTTACTTTAAATTTTGGCTTGCTGAGAGAGTTTGCATGAGGAAATAAATTTCGTTTTTTAATGTTATAACATATTTGGAACATTTTTTTTTCTTTTTTTTACATTTAAAATAATAATGCACATGCAATTATTATGTTTTTTCTCATTTTTGTTAATGATGAATGCGTTGTTTATTTTAATTTTTTTTAAATGGTGCCTTTATTCTTTTCGAGCAGTGCTTCAAACACATTTTTACTGTTCTGTACTCTGATCAAGTGATTATTTTATTTGGAGGTAAATTTATGGCTATAAAGTGGATCTACGGTTCAGCAGATCAAACAATTCAGCAGTTGCGTGGCTTCATTTGTAAGGCAAAAATTATAACCATTTTGCTCATTCTTCAACCCTGTGGTCGTCTTTTCTTTTCATTTTCATATTTCACTCTTTTGTATATTCTGTTATGTTAAATGATTTGTATTTCACTGTATTATTTTTTCGCGTTTTATTTTTTCTCCTTCAAACAGTTCTTTTTTAACTTTCTCTTTTTTCTTAATTACCTAGGCCATTCCATGGAGTAACAATACAGTGGCACAAATACACTTTTTTAGATTATGAAAAGAATGGATAAGCAATAAATTTTTATATTTCTGTTTTGTTTTTTGTTTCTTTTGTGAACATCGCTCGGAGTTGTATAAGTTTCTTCCTTCGTAGAAATCTCCAAAAATGGATTATTTCACTTTTCACTACGAAGGAGAACGTTTTAATTATTTCGATGAATCCCTTTTTCAATAATTATAAAGTCATAAGTACTATTATGAGCCGTACATTCATTGATTGATTCGATGACAGTATAATGAAAAAATGTCACAATACAGTAGTCCTAAAAGACGAGTTTGTTCCCGAATTCTTCTTTGTTTGCTACTGTCTGTCGGTTATGTCCTGCCACCAGTAAGAAGAAGCGCATCTAAATATACAAGAATAAAAAATTTCAAAGCGTCTTTTTATTTCTTTCTTCACCGCCTTTTTTTTGAATGGTTGTCCTTTTAAGGAGTTTCCGAAATTGAAAAAGAAAAAAAATGTTAATGAATGTAGATACACATAATACCCCATATATTTTTGACCCCTTATAGAATCCCCCTTTTAGCTCAAAATGGGAAGAAAACGTCAAGTGCCCAGGATGTCGATTACATAGCAGAAGACATGGTTGTAGAAATCTTGCAAAGCTTTCAGAAAAAGTGAAAAGACTTATTTTTCGCAACATTCTTTACGATAACGAACCTGTTAAATATCCCCCTGAACCTCGAATACAGGATGTATTTAAACGTAACGTAAAGGATTATTCCAAAACAGTTCGTTTTGCTCCTGAGATATATTTGACTTCAACGGGAAGTCTAATATTCCAAAACAAGAAAAAAGCCGCGATTGAATATTATTATTACAATATACAACAGAAAGAGAAGTACAATAAACTAGTAGAAGCATTATCGGAGGCCTTCTTTGTTGCAGCCACAGCGGATGGGATGAGTGATGAAGATCGAATGAAAATATTTAGCAGTTGTTATCCTTCAATGTCAAAGGATTCATTGTTTCATGAAGGATATTGGCAAACACGTTTTCTTGCCTTATTAAAGAGAAAAAGAATATGGCACTTTCAATTTGAACGTTTTTTATTGGAATGCAGTGATTCATGGAATGAATTGATAAAAAAAAATAAAGAAAAGTGGAATCAAATTCTTATAGACAAACTAAGAAAATATAACATGGAAAAAAAATAAAATAAAAAAAAGAGCTAAGTATGAAGAAAAACCCAAATGACGTTTAACACACAGGCGAATAAGTAAAAAGAGTATTATATATATTAAAAATCTAAATGTGTATTCATAGGATTCTAATAATTCATATGCATACAAATTCTGTTGCATGCAATAGACCAAAGAGGAAAAACCATAAGTGCACTAATGCAATTTAAGGAAATTACTAAACTAAAAAGAAAAATGTAAAGAGTGTATCAATTAATTTCCTTTACCAAAGGAAGAAATAATAAATCGAATGTCCATAATTATGTTTCCCTACTCTATTCAGTGCTATACTAAAAACGTACTTTTTTTTTTCGTCTTTCTTAAACAGTAACAATTTTAGAAAAAAAAAAACGGCGAGTCAATTTGACTACCTTCATTAAACAACTAAAAAGTGTTGTATTTTTTTTTTTTTTTTTTTATCTAATTAGTTATCAAACAAATAAACTGTTGTTAAAATATATACAGAGAAGTATATTACACGTTACCTTTTGCTGGATTTTTCCAGCTCATAAGTCAAAAATAAAAGCAAAGCAGAGAACAATGTAATTATGGGATGTCGCTATATGGCATGGGGCAAAATGGAAGAGAAAATTCCAATAGGATGTCACATATTTTTTTGCAATCTATACCTTTAAGAGAGGACAAATTCATTTTAGCCAGATGGGGAAACCTTTTAATCCCTTCTTTTTAGCAGTTTACTACAGATGTGGCATGTTGAATGAGGTTTGGATGAGGAAATAAATTTCGTTTTTTAACATTATAATATATTTGAAGCATTTTTTTTCTTTCTTTTCTTTTTTCTTTTTTTTTTTTACATTTACAATAATACTAGCAATTATTATGTTTTCGCTCATTTCTGTTAATAAAGAAATGCGCAATTTGTTTTAATTTTTTTCAAGTGCGTGCGTGTTTATTTTTTTTCGTGCGATGCTGCAAACGAATTTTAAACAGTTCGGTATTTAAGATCGAGTGATTATTTTTGGGGTGACTTTTATGCCTATAACGTGGTTGTACGGTTCAGCAGATTAATAATTAATAATTCAGCAATTCCGCGCTTTCATTTGTAAGGCAAAAGTTGCAACGCTCTTGTGCTCATTTTTCAACGCTCTCGCGTTTTCTTTTTCATATTTCACTATTTTGTATATTATGGTACGTTAAATGATTTGTATTTCATTGTATTATTTTTTCGGGTTTTATTTTTTTCCTTTTAACCTCTCCCTTTTTTAAACCTCTTTTTTTTTTTATACCACCTGAGGCACTGGATAAAGTAACAATACAGTAGTACAAATAGACTTTTCTACTTTACGGAAAGAATGGATAAACAATAAATTATTATTGTTCTAATTTTTGTTTTTCTGTCCCATTTGTGAACATCGTTCGGAGTTGTATAAGTTTCCTCCTTCGTAGAAATCTCCAAAAATGAATTATGTGACTTTCCAGTGAGAAGGAAAACATTTTGATTATTTCGTTGAATCGCTTTTTCAGTAATTATAAAGTCATAAAGCCTATTATGAACCATGCATTCATCGATTCGATGACAGTATAATGAAAAAATGTCACAATACAGTAGTCCTAAAAGACGAGTTTGTTCCCGAATTCTTCTTTGTTTGCTACTGTATGTCGGTTATGCCCTGCCACCAGTAAGAAGAAGCGCATCTGAATAAACAAGAATAGGAAATTCGAGAACGTCTTCTTATTTCTTCCTTCACCCCTTTTTTTTTTCTTTGAATGGCTTGTGCTTAATGAAGATTTCTACATGGAAGAGAAAAAAATGTTCATGAATATACATACACATAATATCCCGTATATTTTTGACCCTTTGTAGGATCCTCCTTCTAGCTCAAAATGGGAGGAAAACATCAAGTGCCCAGAATGTCGATTACATAGGAGAAAACATCATTGCAGGAACCTTGCAAAGCTTTCAGAAAAAGTGAAAAGTTTTTTTTTTGGCAACATCCTTTATGATAAAAAATCCGTTAAGTACCCCCCTAAACATGAAATATATAATGTATTTGAACGTGACGTAAAGAATTATTCAAAAAAACTTCGTCTTTTTCCTAAGGTATATTTGACTTCGCGCGGAAGTTTGATATTCCAAAACAAACAGAAAGCCGCCGTTGAATATTTTTATTACAATATACAACAGAAAGAGAAATACAATAATTTAGTAAAAGCGTTATCGCAGGCCTTCCAGGCTGCAACAATGGCGAATGGAATCAGTGATGAAGATCAAATGAAAATATTTAGCAGTTGTTATCCTTCAATGTCAAAGGATTCATTGTTTCATGAAGGATATTGGCAAACACGTTTTCTTGCCTTATTAAAGAGAAAAAGAATATGGCTCTTTCAATTTCATCTTTTTTTATGGGAATGCAGTCGTTCATGGAATTTATTGATAAAGAACCACAAAAAAAAGTGGATTCAAATTCTTACAGACAAGCTAATAATATATAACTTGGAAAAAAAAGAACAAATAATAAAGAGAACTAAGTATGAAGAAGAAATAAAAAAGCATTTAACATACGGACGATTAATCTAAAAAGGGTAGTATGTATATGTATATATAGGACTCTAATAATACATATACATCCAATCTGCGCTGCTTCCAATACACCAAAGGGGGAGAAGACAATAATTATTACGCTGATGAGGATGAACACAAATTTTTTACAGTTAAAAACATGAGACGTTATTGGTATTACCTCCTATTGTAATTAGCGGAAGTCATGTAGACGGATTAGTACTACTATTAACACATAAAGTGTTTTATTAAAAGCATGTAATTTTTTTTAAGAAAAGTGTAGCTATCTTATAAAGAGAGATGCTCACACACCATTTGGTTAACCTATATTAGGTAACTAAAGAACATGTTATTATTTTTTTTTTGTTACTATTGATTTTTCTTTGTGACATATAAACAGTCTACACTGTTTATATAAATATAAGTATATATATAAGTATATATATAGATATATATTTATATAATGCTTGTTATTTCCCCACATTCCATTTTACAATTCTGGTATTACAGAATATAAAGGGAAAAAGAGCTTCCATACTTTTTCCTCTTATTCCAACCTTTTGCATTTGTATTTGAAATTTTAAAAGAAAAAAAAGAGTAAATTTATTAATCTGCTGTGGATATGATAAGCATATATTATCCACTTCATGCGGAAGTTGATTTATCTTTTTTTTTTTTTTTTTTTTCGGTTTTTTTTCGATTAATTATCAAACAACCAACATGGCGTTAGAATATGTTTAAAGAAATTTCTTCCGCATTATATTTTTTTTTTCTTGATCATTCATTTTATCCGCAATAAATAGAGTAAAAAAAAAAGTTCTAGTATAATATTCTTGCAATAAAATGAGAATGTAAAATGTACGAATCAATGTTCCTGCTGGATATTCAGTAATTCTTTACTTGTGAAAATGTTATTTTATCCGTAGCGTGAAACACTCTAAAGGGTTTCTGATTTTTAACGGTTCAACAGGAATGAGAAATGCAAGCGTGCTAAGATGGTGAATGTTTTTCGTTTTTCAGACATCCTAATATAAAATTAAATCCTTTTATTTGTTTTTTTTTATTCTTTTTTGTGTTCTTCTTACTGAGAAAGAGTAGATTAGAAAGATTGTTTTATTATTTTTTTAACGGTACCTTTATATTTTGGATATCTACAGGTGACAACCTTTTTTTTATAGTTCTATAAGTGGTGCAGTTAGATCAGTTAATTAAAACTGGATTTTTGTCCATATACAGGACGTCGTTATTTTTCTATTATCGGAAAGGCTATAGGTCCTTCTTTTCTGCTTGTATTTTATCTGCTTTCTATATTGTCTAAATTCCGTCTATATATTTTCTCGCACTTCGGTTGCATTTTCTGTAATTTCCGTTTTCATTTCATCCTTTCAAATATCTACCTTCTATTTATGCACTTGCGATATTTCAGAATACATTGCAGAGATTGCAAATTTTCTCATCCTAGAGGATGCGAAAATATAGTAAGTATAATAATTATGGCATTTTTTCGTAAGGCGCTTTCTACATAATGCAATTGCGTTTCTTTTTCATAATTAAAAATGAGAAAATGCAATTCATACCCTATGTGTATTCACTGGATAAAATAAAAGGAGAAATGTCGCAGTATCTTCGAAAAAAAACGTCTTTTGACGATTTTATATTTTCCTATGTTTTTTTTTATCCTTGTTGCGTTATGGGTAAGGAGTGTACACTTTTATAATGCATTTTTTTTAGATCTCTAATTTTTTCTCTTCTCGCATTATTTTGCATATATTTAATATTTCTAAAAATAGCATCTACTGGTATAAGAAAATTATTTATACGTTGCATATGAATTTATGACCCTTTTTTAGGACAGTGTTTGTAACTCGAATGGGGAAAATACTGTCGCGGAAGAATATCCCAACACATTGAGTAATATAGAAGCTCAACCTTTTCAAAATATTACCAAAGTTGCAAATAGGGTGAAGGAATTCCTTTTAGACATCATCCGTTGTAATGACGAAGCGATGGTGTATCGGCCAGAATCTGTAAAAAATGATTCATATGCAGGTAATGTATAGGATGATTCTACAAAAGGTCAAGGCTAGCCTAACACATATATAATTAAAAGCTGGGGTTATTATTTGAAAATAAAAATATGGCCTCCCTTCAGTATTTTTATTACAATGAAGATCAGAAAAGGGAATAGCATAAATTAATGAAACCATTATGGGATTCTTTAACCGACGTAGCAACGAATGAAGGAAAGGACAACAAGCACCAACTCAAAATATTTGATGTTTGTTACCCGTTAATTTTAGAGCATTCAAAGGTAAATGAAACTGAATGGAGAAAACGTTTCCGCAAATTATTGAGTGGGAGAAGAATATGTCTACTAGAATTTGAATACTTCTTATCGAATTGGAATAATTTTTGGGATTCACTGATAGAAGACAATATAGAAAAAGTGGACTAAAATTCTTTGCGATGAATTAAAATGTCATACATTAGTGAAGCCAGAATCTTTGCTTGAAAAAATGAGAAATTATAAAATCAGCGTGGTGACATTAAAGGAAACGTGGGGTGGTGCGGTCTTCTGTGTGGCTAATACCAATGAATTTGCACAGATAGGTATTTATATGCACGGAATTGTATACACGTCCATATATATACATTTGTGTTAACGGAAGAGGACTAGGAAAAGGAACCAAACGATTTTGCTAATGTAGCAGGGATTATATCCTTTATGAAGAAATACTCAAAGGATTGTAGTCAATAGGTTGTCATGTCACAGTCGGAGATTTATTAAACACTTAACTTTTCGTTTTCTAAAAGAGTAATTGTATTAAAGGAAAAATGTTGGAGAAAGCAATTTGGTACCGCCATATTATATAATTAAAATATGTCATGCTGTTTTATTACTCATATGAATCAATTCATTTTTTTTCTCTCTTTTTTTTATGTACTTCTTTACAATATGGTTAATCATTGAAATGAACAAATGGTTATTTTGATGTACAAATTTGCTTACAATAATAATATTGTCCTCTTCATTATGGTAAATTTGATTAATACACAGATCGAATTTAAATTGCGCACGTTTGGTGAAGAGACTCAAAAGATGCGTGATGTCTCATTAAAGTGAACACAAACGCTCAAGTATACTTATCATTTTAAAATCGATTTAAAATATGATCACCTAAAGTAGTAACCTCATTTATGACTTTTGCAATTGAAACAAATGGCTGTCATGATACGTTATAATGATTACATACGCATTTTATATTATATGCTTTAAACTTACAACTGTGGTTGGAAGGCATTTATTTGTGTATATTGAGAATTTTTTTTTTTTTTTTCTTTTTTCCCCTTGACGAGGAACCGAAACGGTTATGTATAATAATTGTTCAGTAAATATACAAGGGTATTATTTAGTCCCAATTCGTTAGCGTCACTGGAGATGAGGTGATATGTGCATTTCCAGCTTTTAACATTCTCTTTATATTGCAGCTCGTTACATGTGTATAGAGGACATATGTAACTATTAATGTGAAAAACCGTTTCCTTGGATGGTCTTACTTCTTAAATGTTACCTCAAAGAATTAGAGAAAGACTAACAATAAATCAACTGTCCACGAATATTAATTTGGACATAAAGATGTTTCGCTTTAGAATAATGGTCTCTTGCGTTGCGCAGTTCAATAATTTTAAAGAACAACAAAAGTTAAGGCAAGGATGTATCCATCCCCTACGTTTGTACATACGGCTGTACATGTGTATATATATGTATATATATATGTATATATACATATGTATATATATATGTATACATATGCATACATATGTGTACATATTAGGCGCTAATTCATGAGCGCGTCTTAAGCGCGCCCCCCTTGTGCACGCCTACGTATGAACTAATTTGTAGGTATCACTTACCTTACTGTTGCATAAATCGAAATTCGCTTATTTTCTCATGATGAAAAATTCCCATTTCCATCGAGCTGAATTTCGTGAAACTTGCACTGTTCTGACAGTGCAAGAAGCAAAAGTAGGGGCTC